AACAACTCCCAAGTCAAAGTTGGATATTTGGCTGGTCTAGCCAAACAGAAATTCCTACACTAAGTCTTGGCGGATCTAGACAAGCAAAAAGTAGCAAAATCGACCCCATTCATCTCAACTATCCCCATGTTACTGAGAACCTCATAACAGCTGTCTAGATAATTCTGGGGATACTTAGTAGATGCACCGTTGAAAATAGTGAAGAGCTTGGTGAAACCTATCCAACCTGCACAAAGCTTCCGAAGACGTATCTGATCTATCACCGATCTGTGTTGATGTTCGGCTGAAGAAGCGGTATGTGACCTCGCCATTCGCGAAAGGACAAGAGTAGGGGTTTCATTTTAGCACTGAGAGAACAAAATCGCAGGACATGAAAGAATGAATGTGAAGTTTCTCCTAACTCTGTAGTCTCTGGGAGATAAATACAGACGTCTCTGTACCGATCCCTCAGACTCTACTAAGCTTGTCTGTGAACTGTGAGACCCATGTAAACTAGAGCTCTGATACCAACTTGTCACGACCCGAATTTACCACCCTCGGGAGTCATGATGGTGCCTATTAATGTGAGCTAGGCAAGCCAAACCTTTAATCTAATTACTTCATTAACCAATTATCTCTTTTTAACAAATATAAGACGATAACGTGGTAATAACGAAAATTCAAATTTAAGCGGAAGACAACAATAAGATTTATGAAGAACGAATCTATTACAAATAGTTAAGCCTTAACCACCCAAAACCTGGTGTCACAGTGTCACAGACTATCTAAGAGATTACTACATACAAAGTCCGAAAAAAATGACAATACTGTTTCGGAATAAAAGGAAAATAAAACAGGAAATAGGAATATATGAGACGCTAGGGCCTGTGAACGCTTGCAGGTCTACCTTAGATCTCCGCGTGGACTGAAGGTAGACTCCACACTATGGTCCGAAATCTACTCCGGGATCTGCATATTGTGCAGAGTGTAGTATCAGCACAATCGACCCCATGTGCTGGTAAGTGTCTAGCCTAACCTCGGCGAAGTAGTGACGATGCTAGGACCAGACTACCAAATAAACCTGTGTAGTTATATAATATACAGCGGAGAGTAAAGTAGAATAAACAAATAAAGATGGGAAGGGGAAACATGCTTCGGGGAAAACAGGTAAAACAGAATATCAAGAGAACTATAAAGGAATCAAAATCCAACCAGTAACAAGAATAAGGAAAACAAAGGCACATTTCACTTTCTTTTCACATCTTGTTGTAGGCGTGCAACCCGATTCCATTTCATTTATCTCGTGGTAGGCATACCACCCGCTCCCATTTCATTTATCTTGTGGTAGGCGTACCACCCGCTCCCATTTGGTTATATCTAGTGGTAGGTGTACCACCCACTCCCATTTCATTATATCTTGTGGTAGGCATACCACCCGCTCCCATTTCATTATATCTTGTGGTAGGCATACCACCCGCTCCCATTTCATTATATCTTGTGGTAGGCATACCACCCATTCCCATTTACAAGCCAACAATAATCACAAGGAATCTCGGCAAGGAAACACAAGCAATATAACAACTTCCCGGCAAGGGAATAATGATATTTCAACAACATCCAGGCAAGGGAACAATAATATCAAAACAAACATCCCGACAAGGGATCATTAATATAGAACAAACATCCCGGCAAGGGAACAATGGTGATAATAACATATGAAGCGCAATAAACCACAACAGAGTCATAACATTTATAATATAAGACTCACGAGCATGCTTGACACCAATGTATAAATACTCGTCACCATGCCTATACGTCGTACTCCAAAATTAACATGTAGCAAATAATACACAACTCCTAATCCCTCAAGCTAAGGTTAGACCAAACACTTACCTCGATGCCACGAACACAATTCACGATTCAACTATAGCTTTACCCCTTGATTCTACCACCAATTCGCTCGAATCTAGCCATAAGTTACTTATTTACATCAATAAACGCTAAATGAATCAACCCCAATGCATGAAAATGAATTTTCTAAAGTTTTACCCAAAAGTCAAAAATCGCCCCCAGGCGCACATGGTCAAAACCCGATTACCCATTCCCCCACGAATCCAAATATATAATTTATTTTGAAATTGGACCTCAAATCGAGGTCCAAATCCCCAATTTTTGAAAAACCTAGGTTCTACCCGAAACACCCAATTTCCCCATGAAAATCATTGATTTTGAGTTGAAATCATGTTAAAAGAGGTTAATGATTGAAGAAAACGAGTTAGAAATCACTTACCAATGTTTTGGAGAAGAAAGGTTACTTGAAAAATCGCCTCTTATGTTTTTGGGGATTTGAAAAAGGAAAAATAACTGAAAATCCCGTCTAAATATACCCCTCTCAGACCCCCTGTGCGGACCGCACAAAATCGATTGCGGCCGCACAGCTCTTCCTGTAGACTACAGTGACATGCTTTAGTATTTTGGCCATAACTTTGTCTTCAGATGTCCAAATTATGATTTCCTTATTTTTTGGAAACTAGCCACGAAGGGCTACAACTTTCGTTTTTGAATCATCTAACAATTCCTTATAGATCAAAAGATATAGGCTTCTAAAATCGGACCAGTGAAAAGTTCTTCACCGCGGACCGCACAAAATCTAGTGCGGCCGAAAAACCCTCACCGCATTCCGCACAAAATCCAATGCGGCCGCACAAGCCCCTCCACGGCAGCATTCCTTTTTGTGCGGACCGAACTGGTCTGTTCAGAGGCCTTCCACCTCTCTGAACCTGCAACAACTATGTTTTTAAGCCTAAGACATCCCAGAACCTACTCGGAACTCCAAACCAAGTGTGCATACTAACTCAAAAATATCATATGGACCTACTCGTACGATCACATTCAAAATAACATGTAAAATCATGAATTAAGCCTCAAAACTCAACATTTTCATCAAGAACTCTCAAAGTTTCATAATTCTTCAACCGGAAGTCCAACTCACGTCAAATAAACTCCGTTTTCACCAAATTTCGTAGTTATCTTTCAAATACTATAACAAGTTTGTACCGGGCTCCGGAATCAAATACGGGTCCGATAACAATGGTTTCAAACATTAATTCTTTTCTTTATTTCTTAGATAATTCAGTAAAACAATTTCTTTCAAAAATTGATTTCTAAGGCTTGGGATCTCGGATTTCATTTTCAGGTATACGCCCAAGTCCCATATTTTACTACGGACCCCCCGGGATCGTCGGAAGATGGATCCAGGTCCGTTTGCTAGAAATATTGACCAAAGTCAACCACAATTAAATTTTTAACTCTAAAATTTCTATTTCTCATATTTTCACATAGAAGGCTTTTCGGATATAGGTACGGACCACGCACGTAAATTAAGGTGGGGCAAAAGGGAGGTTTTTAGGCCTCAGAAAACTGAATTCACTTGCAACACAAATGATAACCTTTTGGGTCATCACAAGCATACGGGGCTGAAGTAGCAAAGGCAATCACGCAAAACTTCAGCATTCTAGTAGACGGGCCTGAAGTAGTAAGGGTGCTGAAGTTTTTGTTTTTGTAACTAGCGAACTTCAGCTTTAGAGCTGAAGTTTTTGTAACTGGCGAATTTCAGCTCTAGAGCTGAAGTTTTTGTTTTGTAACTGGCGAACTTCAGCTCTAGAGCTGAAGTTTTTGTTTTTGTAACTGGCGAACTTTAGCTCTAGAGCTGAAGTTTTTGTTTTGTAACTGGCGAAGAGCTAATGTTTTTGTTTTTGTAACTGGCGAACTTCAGCTCTAGAGCTAAAGTTTTTGTTTTGTAACTGGCGAACTTCAGCTCTAGAGCTAAAGTTTTTGTTTTGTAACTGGCGAAGTTTTTGTTTTGTAACTATCGAACTTCAGCTCTAGAGCTGAAGTTTTTGTTTTGTAACTATCGAACTTCAGCTCTAGAGCTGAAGTTTTTGTTTTGTAACTGTTGAACTTCAAATCTAGAGCTGAAGTTTTTGTTTGTAACTGGCGAACTTCAGCTCTAGAGTTGAAGTTTTTGTTTGTAACTGACGAACTTCAGCTCTAGAGCTGAAGTTTTTGTTTTGTAACTGTTGAACTTCAAATCTAGAGCTGAAGTTTTTGTTTGTAACTGGCGAACTTCAGCTCTAGAGTTGAAGTTTTTGTTTGTAACTGACGAACTTCAGCTCTAGAGCTGAAGTATTTAAAACCTTTGAGTATGTACTGCTGCACTCTCAATATCTACAGTGACGACGACGAGCAGAAGAAGTTTGCTCATTTCTTTCCCTCGTTTTCCATAACTTAAACTAATAGTCAAAAACCTTGTTGAGGGTTTGTTGGAATCGACTAAATAATGTCATATATAGATATCGTATGACAAACTTTTGGCCACCAAAAAATGGAAGTTTGTGTGAAGTAATTTAGATTAGTCACTATAATAATCAATCCTTTAAATATATCAGTGCTTGTTTTATTCATACGTATAAAAGAGTTGCTACAGCTGCTGAGATCAAAAAAGTAATATGGAGGAAAAGAAATACGTAGTTGAGGTTGAGAAAGCTAAAGAAGGAAGAGATGGTTACATCAATGTTCAGTTCCGGAGAGATATGGAGATCACTGGGAGAAGGAGGGGGAGAAAGGGGCTGAAATTGTTTAAAAAGTGGGTACACGTTAAAACTTTTAAAAAAATGGGTATATGTTAAATGGGGGCGACCAAATAGGGCGCCCGTGCAATTTTTACTGGATTTTAGATCTTGAATCTTGATACAGGCCCAACATATTTATATGAAAATATGGGATAGCCTTTTTTTCTTCCACAGGAATAGTTACAAGTAACGGAATTCACTGAGCACCAACGTCAAGAACCATTATAGGCTAGGGTAATCTTGAATTGCATTTTGCCAGCTTGTCCTGATATCTCTATTTATCTAATGCAATAGCCCACATGGGCCTCTCCAAAATTTTCTTGATCACTTATTTGTTACATAAAATAGCAAACAAAATAAAAATACTCGCATTTTCCATCTATAAATTCTCACTCAGTTGTTCATTTCCATCACCAAGTAAACTCTTAGCTCTAGTAATACACACATTAGCATTTCCCACATTTTCAGTTTGAATAAAATGGCCAAGGCTACTGTATCATCCATTATCCTTCTCCTCACTTTGAACATTCTCTTCTTCACAATGGTTAGTTCAACTTACATCCCATGCCCACCAAAAACAAAGAATCAACCCCATCCCACTACCCCATCATCCAAGGGTTATAAGAAGTGCCCAAAGGACACACTAAAATTGAATGTGTGTGCCAATTTATTGAATGACTTGGTGCATGTTGTTATTGGAAGCTCATCAAAGAGTTCATGCTGCTCTCTCATTGAGAATCTTGCTGATGTTGATGCTGCAGTTTGCCTTTGCACTGCCATTAAAGCTAAGCTCTTGGGAACTAACCTTGATACCGCTCTTTCCCTCAGCTTATTGCTCAACAATTGTGGAAAGACTGTCCCTAAAGACTTCCAATGTGCATAAATGGCCGTCCTCTATTTTCGTCCGACCCCAACTTGTTTGGAAATGAGGTCGTAGTTGTCTGTTTGTTTTCTCTATAAGATTTTCGTTAGAGATTTCAAGTGAAAAATACTATCAGTACTGTGTGTGTTTATGCATGGTTGCTTATTTTCTCAGGAAATATGTGGAATTATTCTAGTGCTTAGAAGTACTGAGTGTGTTTATGCATGGTTGCTTATTATGTGTTGTATCCCATATTTATTTGTAATAAGATGGTTATCTTCTCATTAAGGAAATATATTATGTTTGATCTCGGGAAATCAATTATTGATAAGGTATTGATATTAAGTTGCTTTTTTTTTTCCAGCGATGTGACATTTTCATCTGCAAATTTGTTCTTTCCTTTTTATTTTCGTCGCTTTTAAATTTTGTACCTAGAAAGACCACTAAAGTTTTTTTGTTACCTTTTTCAAAAAAAGAATACTAAAGTTTTAAAAACTGTTCTAAATAATTACGCATACATATCTCGACTTCGCCCAATATTTAATCCTCGTGAGAATACTATCAAGGTGTGGTGGACGGTTGAGATATCTCCACCCGTAATTAGAAGTTTAGGATTTGAACCATGGGAATAGAGAACTTCCCGGTAGGGAGTGTTAAGGAATAAAAATCCACATGAGAATCGATGTATACAGTAAGAGAGTTACACTTTGAATTGGAGAATGTCAAAAGCAAAAGGTGTCCGACTTAATGGTAGAAACATCAATGACATGATTGCAAGTACAACTATACTTTAGAAATTGAGGCTCATTTGCATGCATGTGACCAACTTTAATGGCCTCTCAACTACTGATAGAGGGCTAATAAAGTTAGATAAAATGTGAAGTTCATCTCTTAGATTTATGTTCATACCTTTACAACGAATGAGAATTGAGAACATGATGGTAATTGGTAAGTCCTTCGCAGAGGAGGAATTCAGTCAGTTTCCTGAACCCTATAATTAAGTTTTATACATAATGGATAGGCAGGATCCAATACTACCTTCCACATTCAAAGATGGCGTTTCAAAAATTCAAAAAGATGAAGAAAAAAATGACAAAGTCACTATTTTCTTGGAAAAAGAAATTGACAGAACAAAAACAAAAAATCCTACAAATATTATCAGGGTTGTGTATGGAATTGAGGCTGCTGTCCCCTGATTTGTGAGCGAGGATTCATATGGCTGAAGTTAAAGTGCTCATGTAATTGCCGGCTAGGACTGTCTGGTGTGAGAAGCTGATCCCCTGGCCCCATTCCTACATACTGTTGCACCACCAACACTGAAACAGCTGATGCAGAATCTGAGGATGCTAATAGATCTCCTATTGCACCTAGCTCTGGGCACTCACTCCAGTCAGTAAGTCCTGCTGTCAATGGCGATATAGTGCCTTGCCCTCTACCAACTATGAACAGGTCATGTGAGTTATCTATTGTCCTTATTGCTGCTACTGTCTCTTCTCCATGATTCACTACTCTTTCAATGTATACAGCTGAATCATCATTAGCTGTTCGTGCCCTGAACTCGCTGACATAGTCCTCGTCTAGCTGTTTTTCTCTGTCGTCGTCTGTTACGACTGTTAGAACTCCTGGATCATTCATACTACTCTTTCTTGAATCAGATCTTGTTGCTTCAATTGCAGCTTCTCCAGGGAGGAACCGCATGACAGTGAGGTTGATCCCAGGATGTTCCCTCATTCTTAATCCATAGGACAATGCTTCACGATCATCTGGTCCACCAAAGAATAGGACGGCGACATGGTGAGATACCTGATTAGCAGCCAGCCTTGTGGATCCACTTAGTCCTCTGTCAACAAGAATACCAACAGAACAAGGTGCATTTGCTAATACATTCTGGTTTATAGTTCGAAAAGCTGGATTTGTAACTTCCATTCCGCCATCAACTGTTTGTTGCTTGTGAAATGGGACGATTAGGAGCGCCACTCGCTTGTCCTCAGCCACGGTGCAGATGTCTTCGTGCATAGTGGAGTAAGGAGAGATGGCAGTGAGGGGTTGCACGGAGACGCACCCAACGTGCTGCTCAAAGTTCTCGAATGCATTGATGATGTGATCTGATTGAGCTTGAGTTCTGTTTAGTGCTGGCCTGCCGGATTTTCGCGTATTATGGACAATAAGCATGGCGGATGAACGTCCAGTGAGCTCGACAAGGTGAAGAACGTATATACCTAGCGGAGATTTCTTGGTGGGATACGTGGCTTCAAGAAGATTGATAATTGTTGGAACATTTCTTGGTGTGTGGATGCAAACCAGTACCCTGAATTCGCTATCTGGCTTTGTACTTTGAACGGTTCTTCTTTTATAAGGCACAAACTTTCTTGCCGGCTTGTAAATTATAGTCACAATAGGGATGATACATGCAGTCATAAGCACAGCTACCATGACCATAATTGCAAATGATTTGTCATCAAGAACCTACAAACATGCATTTAGGTTAATGTTGCAAATAGTACTAATTAGTTTCTGTGTATGGAATGTCAAGAAGAATAAGAATTTACCTTTTGGTCTTTACCAACATTGATTACAATCATCTCAATGAGTCCTTTGGCATTCATCAGAAGACCAAGAGTAACGCCTTCATAGAATGGCATTCTGTAATAGAGAGTTACAAGAACTGTTCCAGCAATCTTGCCAGCACATGCTAGGACTATTACTAGAGCTAAAATAGCCCATGTACCAACTCCATCAATGGCATTAATCTCTGTCTTGAGACCACTAATGGCAAAAAAGAGAGGCAACAAAAGCCCTGAAACAAAGTCCTCTAGCCTTTCAATAAGTGTCACACCAAGTGGACCATTTGGAATAACCAAGCCAAATATGAAAGCCCCAAAAATAGAATGTGTTCCAATTGCATCTGTTATGAATCCACATATCATAACTCCTGTGAGAATGAGACATATAGAGAACTCGCTGATGGATTCGCCTTCTGGAGTTCGTCTTATCATCCATCCAACTAAAGGCCTAACGATAATAACGCAGAAAACAACAAAGGCTGCACTTGACAGAATCACCCAAATAGAAGCCAAAGCCATATTATGATTCTCAGAAAAAGCAATGGCAAAAGCCAAGAGAACCCACGCGAAAATGTCATTAATAAGAGCAGCAGACATGGCTATCCTACCAATTTCAGTGTTGATAAGTTTCAGCTCAGCGAGGATTCGTGCAAGAACAGGAAATGCAGTAACAGAAAGTGCAACTCCAAGGAAGAGTATGAAAGTCCCTTGTTTTGTATCTTGAGAATTCTTATGCAACATAAAGGAGAATGAAACTCCTATAAGAAATGGCACTACCATTCCTGCTAGAGCTATAGGTATGGCTTTTTTGCCCGTTCGACGAATAACAGCAATGTCCATTTCTACTCCAACCAGAAAAAGAAAGTAAAGAAGTCCTATATTTGCCATTGTCTCAAGAACCATTACGCTTCTTAGAGGAAATATTGTATCGGCAAATTTTTTACTTCTTCCTAATACGGATGGTCCCAAAATTACACCACCCTGTCACCATTTAAGACAACATTAGTCTACTTAATCGAACAAGTGTAACAACAACCTGCTACCTTCAATAGAAGCAGATTTACACATTCACGAGCATCCATCAAAATTTTTAATGACATTTTGACAAACACACACACACACACACAAAAAGGAGCAATCTGTAAATTTCACCTAGACAACCATTATTTTCTTTTATCAGGTCTTTAATCCTCTAAGAGATTTGATCCCTTGTTTGATCTTACATGTAAAATTCTAATTAACCTACATATTGACTCCAAAATTCTATCTTGCTATGTTAATTTGCAACAACATCGTTTGGAAATAGTAAATATGCATGGTTTCTCATATGAAATGATCATGACAAATGAAAACAGAAAATGTAACAATATATATTGGAAATCTGACTGAAACTTACAAGGATCTCAGCAATAACGCGAGGTTGACGAAAAGGTTTCAAGATAAAAACGAGAATGCGAGTCATGACAACAACTAATGTCAATTGCAAGATGAAGAGTGGCAGTGAATAATCAAGTGGATTTTCACCCTGCCATATTCCATTGGTCGTTATCATTGTTGGAGCATAGCATACTATGTTCTCCTCCGTTTTGTTTCCAACTGTTACTACCTCACCTGCCATTTTGCCTCTCCAATATATAATGTTTTCCTTAATCTAAAGAATCCACAAAATTATAATGTCTTAGGTCGTAAACCATCAATCATCATGAACATGCATGGCTACGTGCTACGTTCTTGGATATTTAGAAAATTCATCATTTGATTGCTATCTGAAAATTAGACTTCCATCAAAGAAGAAAGGAAAAGAAAAGAAAAGAAATATCTGAAAGTTTGTCAAGTACAGAGAGAAAGAAAAAAGGGAGAAAACAGAAAGAGAGTTTTACGCTCAAATTTGGAGGAGAGATAATTGGAAATTAGGTTCCGTTTCAGCTGGTAGACTGGCTCATTTTTGCGCTACATCTTCTATGGTCCACATTTACCAGGGAGAAGTCATTTTTTTGGAAAAGAAAAATTAAAAGAGTCATCTCAATTGGCTGGCTTTCATCTCAAAGAAGGTACGGGAAATGATTTTCTTTGACCCGTTATAATTTAAGAAGAAATGATTCTACAAATTTTTGTGTTTTATTTATGAGTTAATGCCCTAAAATTCCCTTAAGCTATTATGTTTTTATCGGTTTCCTACTTAAACTATTCGATGTACTCAAAACCTCTTGAGCTATATTGCCCTTCATATTAAAAGCCCCTCATTGCATTCTTAGAGGTGCGTCTAGTACACGCTCCTAATTATCTAAAAAACGTGCCGTGTAGAACTACACTTGACTATTTAACTCATTTTAAAACCCGCCTAAACTATCACTTTTTTGTCAGTTACCTATTTAAACTATCTGGTGTCCCAAATACCCCTAAACTATACTCCCCTTATATAATAAAATCCCATGTTGGACTTTTAAAGGTGCATCTGTCTGACAATATTAATTTATGATTTGTACAAAGTTTTTTTTACATAGTTTAACTTAGTACACGCTCCTAATTATCTAAAAAAACGTGCCGTGTAGAACTACACTTGGCTATTTAACTCATTTTAAAACCCGCCTAAATTATCACTTTTTTGTCAGTTACCTACTTAAACTATCTAGTGTTCCAAATACCCCTAAACTATACTCCCCTGTACAATAAAATCCCATGTTGGACTTTTAAAGGTGCATATGACTATATTAACTTATGATTTGTACAAAGTTTTTTATATATTTTACTCATGATGTATTACTCTCGAATATATATATATNAAGTTTGAGGACACTTAGGTCATTTCACATGATCTCTATACGTGACCTTTTTCTGCCTATACATACGTGTAGCTTTTAGGTTATTCCTGCGGTTCTTTATTCAATTTCCTCACATAATAATTTACAGTGGTTTTGAGATTATCTTCGGTCTTCCTCGTCTCTTCAACTTGAAGGTGCTTTTCTTGCTCTTTAACATCAATTTTATTATTTTCTATCTGTTTTTGCTTCTTTTTTTGTTTCAAATTCATGAGAATAGAGTGAATTAACGATAGATTTTTCGAGTTAGGGTTTTGATGGATGAAATTGGGTATTTTTTTCGGAGATAAATTGAAATCAAGAAAACAAATTCAATTTCTTCACTTGCTTTAATTCCTGTCGGCATGGTGGCACTGAAGAGCAGTGTTTAACAATAATCCACCATAACCCACCATAGTCAAAGTGTAGCGTCAAGAAACAACAAATAAAATTCATGTTATAATCCTTTTTTGAAGTTCAAATTCAAGTTTGATCTAAAGCCGTTTTGCTCGATTGTTGTTATGCTTCTGCTTTTTATGCTTAGCTTCTTTGTTTCTCTGATCATTAGCTTTTATTTGATTTGTTCATTTAATGATTTCTCCATTTGCTATTTGATTTTGGGATTTGTTGCTTGAGAGATATGTATAGGTATTGGCGATTTCGTTCTTTGTGTTTTCGACTTCTGTTGTACGTGTGGTTTTGTGCTATTTTTCTTTTTTCACTACCTTTAGCAAGATAAGATGGATAACCCATTAACTATACTTATTTTTTCGTTTTTTTTGTTTTCATTAACAGAAATTGCAGCTATGTTATTTCTTTTTTGTTTAATAATAATTGTTTATTGCTAGGTGTAAGTTTATTGAAAGTAAAACAGTGACACTGCACGTGAATATGATCACTAAATTTTATTTATTATAACGATAGTCGCAAAACTGTATTGTGTCAAAAGTTCTTAATTTAAAGTTTTTACTTATGAAATTATTTGCGAGCCGCCTTATTTTTCTGTAAGCATTAGAGACGGTGTCATCAAACTGGTTGTTAACTCTGACGATGTACTAACTTTTCAGCTTTATCCTTTATTTTAGTTGGAATTATCTATTGCTGATACTATTTTGCCCTCAATTTATTCTCTTTGTTATTGTAGTTCTTGTGATTGTGTTATTCAGTAGTCTTCTGATCAGAAGGTAAACTTTCTGACCAACTTGTTACTTTAATGCTTTTGATACCATTCGCTCGATTTTGCTTATTAGTGGAAGAAACATAAAAGCCGACGTTTTGAAATGCAATTCTTAGTATGATATCTTTAGTTTTGGTAAGAGTGAGAACTTTTATGCTCTCCTTGACGTTAGGATTTCTCTCTTTGTTGTAGTTAACTTTTAACAACTTAAACTTTGTTATGGCTCGCCATTGTTAGTGAAACAGCTGAATCGAGCTTCTAAACTATCAGCCATATTTTAATGAATATCCATATCAATCTTTGCCAGATTACTCATTTATGTTAGAAAAGGAGATATCAAGTCAAGGTTCCAGAAATCAAATCCATCTATATAAAAAGGCAGACATAAGGAAAAATAATAAATTATTCAAATATTGCCTGCTGTCGCATATCATATTGCATAGTCTTTCCAAAAGATTCTTTATGTTCTCTCATATGAGTGGAATGATAGTTTTTGGTGTTAGCAGCAGCAATGAATGAACACAGATAGTAGTATATTAGGTTTAATTAAGAACTGAGATACTGCAGCAAATGGTATGAATCAGTTAATTAAGTAGCCTATTATTCTCATATGGAGCATTTGAGAAGACTTTTGAGGTTGAAACTTAACATCTGATCTTGGTTTGAACTTTCTAATAAGCTAAAGAAATTATCTTATTAGTAGCCGATAAAAGTGCATAGAAAAGATTTACTTCTTCCATTAGAATTGGGGCACGAGCATCAGGAGTTCTATAGATATAGCACCATGCAGTAGTAATATCTTGGTGTTTGATTGATGTAGTAATAGCTCTTGTTGAATCAATTTAATCTGTTAAAGGTTTGATCTTGACAACCCAGTTCATAATTTTCTCTTTTTTTTCATTTACTAGAAGTTAATTTCATATCTAAATTGTGTGGAGAATCTTGGTACTTGGTTGAGGTAGTAGTAGTATTTTATTTTGGATAAGTTTCATCTGTCAAAGTTATGATCTTTATTTGTGATTGTTTAGTGGTTGAATCGATTTAATCTGTAAAAGATTTGATCTTTTTGTGATTGTTAATGTATACATACGTGGCTTTTCTGCAGCCACCACATCTTTCTTCGTTTCTTTCGCAGCTAGCGCAACTTATTCTTTCGTTTTTTTCTTTCAATTCTTTTCCCATGGATTCTCTTTGGCTTCTCAAAGATACTCTGAATCACTGGGTAGCCCCTCTTTGAAGTTTTGGCAAAATCTTGTTCTGTTTCTCTTGCTGTGTATTTGTGATGCTCTTTAATCTGACCTTTAAAGTTTTTTTTCTTCTATAAATCTGATTTGAATTTTTAGGGTTAGGTGGTAAGGCATAAGGCCAAATAGTGTAGGAAAGGAAGGAGAGACGACTTGGAGCTCTTCGCCGAAAACGAATCTCTTTGTTTCTCCCATGTTCTGTGTCCCTCCTTTCTCCTTTTTCGTCTCAACTCTCTGTTTAATAAAGTCTATGCGGCAGGATTTTTTTGGCTTTCTGATTATAGAATGTATGCATCTCTGTTGATTCAGCAGATTTAACGTGGTCGGAAAATTCTTAATATCCAAACTCTAATTTTAAATTTTGATGTAGCTCTATCATCTTCAAAAAGTATATTTTGGATTTTATACTTAGATTTGGTTGTAATTTCTAAACATAGATGATTTGATAGCTTTTATTTTTTCCTCTCGTGTATGGTGGCTTCATAGTGGTAAATAACAAGTATTCAAGTTTGCAGAACTTTCTACCCTATATTTTCTGATTTTGTAAAATTAGCAAAATGTAGCTATTGATATATTTAAATTTCAAGATTATAGAGTGTAATCTAATTTTTTTGCCTGAGTTATGTCCATGTGAAAGTTAGAGTAATAGATCTCTTTATTCTACCTTTTTCACTTTACTAATATTTTTAATCTTTTTCATTGGTTTCAGTATTTAAAGAGGCTAAATGGACAATTTGATTTTGTAGATATCCTATGCTAAGAAAACTATAATACTATAATAATTAGATACTCACTTCTAAAAGAAGTATTTAAGAAATGGTTATTAATTTCTGTGAACCCAACATTTCATTGAATTTGTGTTTAACGTTGATGAAACCCCAATCAGGATCACAGTCAAATGACCATATTGGCAAATAAAACATTAACTTCAAGGACAGCAGGAAAAATAACTAAGGCTTTAGAGAAGGAGTACTTAAATCTTTTATATTCAGGAAGAGACAACAGATAACAGAGTAAGTTCAACCTGGTACGAACCATTTTTTCGATGAATTAACTCCGAAGTCATTCCACATCATAATTTAAATCAAAACTAACAATGCAGATATGTCCAGAACTTGAAGCAAACTTATAAACTTTATCTACCAAACAGACTCTTTTCCTATGCAATTCACAAGGGCATAAGCAACTAATGTTCAAGCTCATTTGCTCTACTTATAACTACTTATGGGAGGCGAATTAAGTAGGCTGTGTAATCATAGTTGTTTGAAGGAGTTATATACTAGATTCTGTTTGCTCAAGTTTCCAAGCTATATATACACATGCTTATGATCTATATTGCGCGGACTCTCCAAAATGTAGCTGCACCCGTGTCAGATCCTTCAAAAATGCACTACTTTTGGAGGATCCGACACGTATCCGGCCACATTTTCGGAGAGTCCGAGCAACATAGCTTATGATGTGTTATAACCTATAGATAAAAGATTTTTTCAATTGAAAGATCTCATAGTGGCATAATAGAATAAATGAACAAAACATGATGATAAAAGAAATCTGTCTTTTTTTATGACCTAGAAATTTGTGTGCGGCCAACCCTTAGGACGACTGCATCATTTGAAACTCGAGGAACTTAAATATCAGGCTTAGTTCAAATGGCACAAGGTTAGAACATGTGACCTAAGTCCATTAGACTAAGCCTTTGGGGGCTGGTATAGAAGAGGTATTGCCGATGCAATATCATTGCATCTTCACTTGCTTCACATTAGGTTCATACGACATCAATAGACTCGAAAGGAAATAACAGCTATATGTCTATCTTACTTGAAAGTTGTCAGCACTTTAGTCTTTATAGAATTGATACAGAAGTTTGATACGAGATGCTTTATCTATGAAGCAAGGACATGCCGTTCTTGGTATAGGTAGTTGTAAGCTGATAAGAAGAATTAGATTTATGTGCTTTCAGCAGGTGTTCCACATGGAGGTGGGACGATTTGATGAATCTGAGCGCTTCAATATAATGATTGCTTTTAGGATTTCTGCTGATGCTGTTGCAGTACGTGCTTTAGTAGGATATGCACTTACTCAAATGGTTCAAGATATTTCATCTGCACACATGTTTATTTATTGCTTTTGAAGTGAGTTGAAAGTTAGCACTTATCACACTTGGTATTAATGTATATGTAGGTTCAGTCAGATATAAATGTTTGTTTGAGTTGCTGGTAAAATTAAATATATGGATAATCAAGTCTTGAACTTGAAAGTTGTTCTCAACCATCAGTTAAATCAATAGATTAGCCAAAATAGAAAGCTTACTAATACTATCTCAGATAATTTGTTATTTTTTGCTACTGTTGCAATAATATTTCGAGTATAATGGTGCTGATTATAATGGTGCTGATTAATCTTATTTTTCGCATAGGCTATATGAGGAAGCAAGTCATGTTCTGAATGATGTTGTTGGAAGTATAAGACTGCTGCGTCATTTTGTGCAAAAGAGAAGGTCATGAAAATATGCAGAACAAAGAGTATAGGTCCATCAAATGCAGGAATAAAGCAAGTTTTTTTATTAGCAGATAAGATTTTGTCTGCCATTTGTCTTTGTTTTGTTTAACAACCAATTTTTACGCGGGAGCTCATCTTATTTAAAATGGCAAAACAAAATTTTTGGATGTTTTCGTGCATCTAAATACCCCTTATTATATTTTTTAAGGATTTTAATTAGAGCTTGTTAAGTGGTTGATTTGTAGTATTCGCAGCCTGACAAGTTTTTTGTGCTCTGATGATGACAACTAAAGCCATGTGTCCTAGTCAAACTCATTGGTACCTGTATATTCAAGAGTGATGCTGCTACAATATTTGCTATTCCACGCAAAAAACACGGAAAAAGATAAAATTCAAGTGATGATTCTGATATGACAGAGGTCACTCTGAACAAAGATTTTGAGTTACAACATGTAAACTTTAAATGTCTAAGAAGGTAGATTTTTAATTTTTTTAGAGACCTTTGCTTGACCATTCGCTGTGAAAAGGTGAATTGACGGTTTAATGTTGTTTCTTTGTTTTCTTTCTTAGCAAAAAGTAATTTACTGGTGTCACGACCAAAAATCTATTAAGAGTTGTGATGGCGTCGGATGCCGCTGTCAGGCAAACCAATTAAATTACTTAATTAAATTCTCATTTTAATAATTTTGAAAACTATGATTTTTTTTTCGCATTTACTAGTAAAAGGTAATCATTTCAAATTAAATATAATGTTAAGAGGTTAATACAAGGTACCCTCCCAGAATTCGGTGTCACAAGTGCACAAACATTTGCTAGGGAGTGCAATAAAATACAGTAACTGTTCGGAATACAAAGTGGACAGAAATGAAAATACAGTATAATACTCTAAAGGAGACTCTGTTGGCTGCGGGTCGCTTTGATAAATGCAGCTCACCTAAGTCTCTGTATCAACCATGCCGCTATGCCACTGAGCCACTAGCCACACATGAACCTGTGCAACAAAAATACACAACAAGTGTAGTATGAGGACGAAAACAACGTGTACCTAGTGAGTATCATGTCTAATCTCGAAGAAACGAGAGGTCGACTTCGACACTTACTCGTGGTCCAATGATAATATAGTAAAATTGTGAGGAAATCATAGATTTCATAGAGCAAAAATAAACTCATACAGTCGGAAAGCAGGTAAACAACTTCTCAAATAATAAAGAATTTTCGAATATTTACTTTTCATTATCTTTATCAATTTATCTCTTGCCAGGAAAGGCAAGTATCAACATTTATAATTCTTAGGCAAGCAATATAAGCATGTGCATATCATGCCGAGGTCGTATGACCCGATCTAACATAAATGTAAAATGTGCACTACCGAGGGTTGAACGGCGCGAACCATAGATGCATCTATTACCCCGCTCGCGAATCATACATGCGACGCAGGTAGACATAGAAACACACATTCAAACAGTCAATCAACGCTTCATTAGGGAGACAATTATTCAAGGAAGTGTCAATTTCTCTTTTACAAGCCGAGAAAATGAAGTTTAACTCTTTTAGAAAATCATTTACCACTTTGATGCAACTAAAGCAATTTAAACTGTCAATAAGGTTACCATTATTACAAGTAAAGCATGCTTTTTGGGTCCTAAACTACCTGGACATAAGCATAATAGTAGCTACACACAGACTCTCGTTACCTCGTGCGTACTTAGCCCCCACAATTAGGGCCCGTTATATCAGGTCGGGTGCCAATAGATCTATTGCAACGGTTTAAAACCGTTACGATAGACAGTTATGGCAATGGACTTATAGCCGTTACGATAAATTAGTCTATTGCAACAGTTATTTTAGGCAAATGCAACGGTTCTTAACCGTAGCTATATACGTTAATGCAACTGCTATTGGGCCTATTGTAACGGTTAAAAATACTATCGCGGCGTTTTTATGAGACTATAACAACAGTAAAAAAGGCTATTGCAACGGTTATTAAGATCTACTACAACGATTTTTTTAGGCTATTGCAGCAGTTATTAAGATCTATTGCAATAATTTTTTAAGGTTATTGCAATGTACTAATAAAGCTATATGAGGAAGCAAGTTATGTTCTGAATGATATTGTTGGAAGTATAAGAGTACTGCATCATTTTGTGCAAAAGAGAAGGTCATGGAAATATACAGAACAAAGAGTATAGGTCCATCAAATGCAGGAATAAAGCAAGGTTTTTTATTAGCAGATAAGATTTTGTCCGCCATTTGTCTTTGTTTTGTCTAACAACTAATTTTTACATGGGAGCTCATCTTATTTAAAATGGCAAAACAAAATTTTTGGATGTTTTCGTGCATCTATGATACCCCTTATTATATTTTTTAAGGATTTTAATTAACGCTTGTTAAGTGGTTGATTTGTAGCATTCGCAGCCTGACAAGTTTTCTGTGCTCTGATGATGACAACTAAAGCCATGTGTCCCAGTCAAACTCATTGGTACCAGTATATTCAAGAGTGACGCTGCTACAATATTTGCTATTCCACGCAAAAAACACGTTCAAGTGATGATTCTGGTATGACAGATTCCACGCAAAAAACACGTTCAAGTGATGATTCTGGTATGACAGAGGTCACCCTCAACAAAGATTTTGAGTTACAACATGTAAACTTTAAAAATCCAAGAAGGCAGATTTTTAATTTATTAGAGACCTTTGCTTGACCATTCGCTGTGAACAGGTGAATTAACGGTTTAATGTTGTTTCTTTGTTTTCTTTCTCAGCAAAAAGTAATTTATTGGCATCACGACCCAAAGCCCACTAAGGGTCGTGATGGCGCCGGACGTCGCTGTCAGGCAAGCCAACCAAATTACTTAATTAGATTCTCATTTTAATAATTTTGAAAACTATGATTTTCCTTCGCATTTACTAGTAAAAGATAATCATTTCAAATTAAATATGATGTTAAGAGATTAATACAAGGTACCCCATAATCATCCCAAAACCTGGTGTCACGAGTGCATGAGCATTTACTAGGGAGTGCAATAAAATACAGTAACTGTTAGGAATACAAAGTGGACAGAAATGAAAATATAGTACAATACTCTGAAGGAGACTCTACTGGCTGCGGGTCGTCTCGATAAATGCAGCTCACCTAAGTCTCCGTATCAACCATGCCGCTATGCCACTGAGCCACTAGCCACACATGAACCTGTGCAACAAAAATTCACAGCAAGTGTAGTATGAGGACGAAAACAACGTGTACCTAGTGAGTATCCCATCTAATCTCGAAGAAGTAGAGACGAGAGGTCGACTTCGACACTTACTCGTGGTCCAATGATAATATAATAAAAATGTAAGGAAATTATGGATTTCATAGAGCAAAAATAAACTCATCCAGCCGGAAAGCAGGTAAACAACTTCTCAAATAATAAAGGATTTCCAAAGATTTACTTTTCATTATCTTTATCAATTTATCTCTGGCCAGGAAAGGCAAGTATCAACATTTATAATTCTCAAGCAAGCAATATAAGCATGTGCATATCATGCCGAGGTCGTACGACCCGATCTAACATAAATGTAAAATGTGCACTACCGAGGGTTGAACGCGAACCATAGATGCATCTATTACCCCGCTCGCGAATCATACATGCGATGCGATCAAATATAAATAAATAATCACCCGGCTTGCGAATCATACATGCGACGCAGGTAGACATAGAAACACACATTCAAACAGTCAATCAACGCTTCATCAGGGAGACAATTATTCAAGGAAGTGTCAATTTCTCTTTTACAAGCAAAGAAAACGAAGTTTAACTCTTTTAGAAAATCATTTACCACTTTAATGCAACTAAAGCAATTTAAACTGTCAATAAGGTTACCATTATTACAAGTAAAACATGTTTTTTGGGTCCTAAACTACCTAGACATAAGCATAATAGTAGCTACGCACAGACTCTCGTCACCTCGTGCGTACGTAGCACCCACAATTAGGGCCCGTCACATCAGGTCGGGTGCCAATAGATCTATTGCAACGGTTTTATGCAACGGTTTAAAATCGTTACGATAGACAGCTATGGCAACGAACTTTTAGCCGTTACGATAACTTAGTCTATTGGAACGGTTATTTTAGGCAAATGCAATGGTTCTTAACCGTAGTTATATACATTAATGCAACGGTTATTGGGCCTATTGTAACAGTTAAAAATACTATCGTGGCATTTTTATGAGACTATAGCAACGGTAAAAAAGGCTATTGCAACAGTTATTAAGATCTACTGCAACGACGTTTTTAGGCTATTGCAACGGTTATTAAGATCTATTGTAATTTTTTTTAAGGTTATTGCAATGTGCTAATAAAGCTATATGAGGAAGAAAGTTATTTTCTGAATGATGTTGTTGGAAGTATAAGACTGCTACATCGTTTTGTGCAAAAGAGAAGGTCATGGAAATATGCAGAACAAAGAGTATAGGTCCATCAAATGCAGAAATAAAGCAAGGTTTTGTATTAGCAAATAAGATTTTGTCTGCCACTTGTCTTTGTTTTGTTTAACAACCAATTTTTACGCAGGAGCTCATCTTATTTAAAATGGCAAAGCAAAGACAAGTCGAAACGTGTTTAAATATAGGGGAGGTTCTGTCCATTTCATCATAAAATAGGTTGTGGTTGGTACATAATAGTTACGACGCTTAAACATTAACGATAGTGTCATTTCTCCTATTGTAGGCTAAAGGGTCGTGACATTTGCATAGCTTGAGGTTGGGCAGTATATACAAGGTATGTGAGGCTATCCATTTCCTTCTTTTGAATGACTTCGATTGTACATAATGCAATGAATGAGCTTCCAAAGGTACTCTACTCTTAGAAAGCGGTACTTACATTGTTTCCCTTCTTATGGCACAATGGATGTTGAGGTTGCTTCTCTTATTCTTATGTTATCGATGTTATTGGTACTTCCTGATTTTGATAAGATTCTTGATGAAGAGATATTCCTAATAATGTGTACGGAGAATATCGACCTTACGTCACTCCAAAAGGTTCAGCATATGACCCCAATGAGTCCTGCATGCATTATATATATATATGTATATATATATATATATATATGTATATGTATATGTATATGTATATATATATGTATCTATTTTACTCAACCGAGCTGCGCTATAGTCGGTCGGGTACGACACCTGTTGTGCAACCACTGATCAGTTGGGTTTAACGAGCTCTACATGGTCGGGTACGATTTTACCGAGCCTTATGATGGCCGGGTACATTTTTACCGGGTCCTTTTTGAGGCTGGATACGATATGATGATGATGATGCCCACAGAGGCATATGTTTTTAAAAGTTTATGTATATATGTATTATGCATTTCATGTCAATAGCCACCAGAGGTACTCAGATGTTACAGGTTGTATCTCCTCTATCTCTCTTTACATTACTGTTCTTGTTTATGCTTTCCTGCTTTACATACTCGGTACTTTATTCGTACTGACATCCCTTTTGCTTGGGGACACTGCGTTTCATG